CTAGTTGTTGTTATTCTTCTTAATCAAGTATCACCCTTTGATTTCATCCATGAAAATCATCTTTTTGGGTAGATCTTCAAGATCTTCATCCATTTCACCAAGAACACCAAGAACACACACTTGTTCTTGGTGGCTGTAAACACCCTTTTGAGCCTCCAAAGTGTAAGTATCCTTTCCCTATGCTTAGTACATGTTAGATACTCATGTTAAACATCCTAGAATCGACATTTAACTGAAACCAAAGGAGTGTACGGCCGTACACCCATGTGTGGCCGTACACCCCTCAAAACACCCCAAAAGGGCCTCCAAAGTGAGAATCTAGTTCCTTTTCTTGTTGAGCAATAGTCCCACAAGCTTCCCTATCATTCAAACACCCTCTTATGCACATTTTAGCATGAGTGTACAGCCGTACACTCCATGGCCGTACACTCCTCATTGTGGCCGTACACACTCCTTTGATGAATCACATGTGATTCTAACACTTAGTCCAAGTGTTTCTTAGTCCCTAAGGGTGTTTCCTTGCATGTAGTTGCTTCTAAACACTAAATTCATAACAATATATGTCATTATATGTCATTAGGACTCGTTTGTGTCTCGGGACTTCATTCGTGGAACTTCTCATCCTTACGCGCATATTCGATTGAATCACCCACATAAGGTGAGTTCATACCCCTATAATCAATCTTTTAAACTGTTTTAAATGCTTTTAAGGGGGGAATACAAGTTGAACACAATGATAATTGTGTAAACCTTTTGCTATAAACATCATTTCAACAAATTGCTTATTTATTTATAAGTGATCAAAATATTTCAAAAACTCTTTCAAAGTTATGTTACTTTATAGTTTATAAAACTCCGTTTTTAAAGTACAATCATAACTTAGTAGATAAAATGAGTCTTTTCTTCAAGTCTGTATCAGTTCAAGTAAACATACTAGTAAACTATAATAGGTATAGTTTAGGGGTTCAGTTCATACTAGAACATAATATAAAGAGAAACAGGGAGGTAGATACAATACACGATAACATAGAGAACATACTATAAAGAGAAACAAGGAGGAAGATACAATACAGCAGAGTGACATACTATACACTATAACAAAAGAACAAATCATGATTAACAATATTATACCAATGATCACTAACTCATTGTTCTAAGCAAAAGGTGATAATAAATGTGGTATACAAGATAACTTTAATGTGAGACTACTTCACGGCTTAGCAATATGTTTGCTGAAGTCGCGTTTGGTAACCAGAATCTCTTGCAGGGAGAGCGTATAGTATGGGTACTACTCATCACATTATGACCTTAATAAAACAAACATGTTTTATGGTAGTCAGTACTTCAGTTTGTCAATTTATAAGACAACTGTGTACTTACATTTTTCCCATTACTTTCATATTGTGACAGTTCCACTTGAAAGTTAATGCAAACTATTTTCGAGTTAAGATAGTTATAAATTAGGGAAAACTTACATTATACAAGCGACAAACAGAACAGTCGAGTCTAGTACATTTCGTAGGAAGGGGCCTTTAATGCTAACTTTATGATTCCTTAGTTTATACATCAGGGATATATATTAATCGGATCCGACAAGTAGTAGGATGTGTGCTTTCCGCTTCATTTCCTGTTCCTTGTTTGGTTGTGGGCTTAGAGCAGATTCACCCAGCCTACCATCGATTCGATCTTAGGTATATATATATTCCATATACACGAAGTAATCATAAGGAGTACCAGGTATGGGTCAGGTCATAGTATACTAATTCAATATACCGTTTTCTAGTACAAAACATACTTTTCAAATAGAACATTTGGTAGACAAAACTAGAAACTTACCAGTAAAGGGTTTAATCCATATTATTAAACCAGTATAACTTAAAGGACCTTAGGTGGTTAATTCTATAATACCTTAGTTTATACATCAGGGTTATATATAATTAAAACCGATCGGTAGTTGGATGTGTGCTTTTCGCCTTACTTGCTGTTCCTTGTTTGGTTGTGGGCTTAGGGCAGATTCACACAACTAACTATCTATTCGATATTAGATTATA